GATAGAGCACCATTTACACTTCGAAATTTATGAAGTCGCAATTGCTGACATCTTCAACCACCGAATTTATAAAGTGGAAATTTTGCATGATTTCGCTATTTTATCACTCAAAATACTTGTTTTCTGCGGTTATTACCTAGATTGACCCACTACATAGATGTATGCTCTCAATACTTTCTTTTGCGTTCCTTTTGCTTATTTTCCTTCTTTTAAGCTTCAGCAAAAAAAATTTTCAAACACCCAAAAGTGAAGGTGGTCACCCGGTACCAACTCAAAAGTGAAGGTAGGCAGAGACTCGGCTCCGTCTATCGCACCTCTGTTCCGGAGTCTTTTCATGTCCCTGATTTCGAATATCAAGTCGAGATTCCCCGAAGACCCCAACAATCTTCCTTCCGGAGCACCCCCGATTCTCCGCAACGGTTATTAGATGGGCGCGCACGGATGGGCGGGTAGTACTGGAGGGGCAGTGCCAACCTGGGGTCCTCATATCTCTTCGCTATTCCGAAGCAATTTTTTTGCTACCTGCGCGACATTTTTCGCCGCGACTTGAGCATTGGCCTGATAGGGGGCCTCACTATAATAAGCTGCTAAAAGCTTAAGATCCCTAACTCAGTAGTAGACCGTGCCTTCAAAGGCAATGCCCAGGCAAAAAGTCATTTTTGAGATTTTGTACCTACTTGGGCCTATTCGCCATGCTAAATTTGAAACTCAACGGAGAACGCGAAAACGGCGAGGAAAGGCTCTTAGGCAGGAGGAGAATCGCAGGTGGACGGGGTTATTCGCATTGTAACGTCAATCTCCCAGCTTCAAGTACGATCTTCTCGCTTCCCACTAGTCGCCCTAACATCATTATCAGCCAACTGCAAACACGTGACATAAAATCGAAACAGACAAGATCGCTACTAGAGCCTGGAAGAGTTACGTCACAGTGTAACGCCCCCGCCACCTGCAATTTCCCTTCTCCGTTAGGCCCCTTTTTCGCCGTTTTCGCGCACTCCAGTGTGGATTTTTGGATTCATCATAGCGAATAGGCCCAGGTAAACACAAAATCTCAATATTGACTTTTTGCCTGGTCATTGCCAATAGCAAAAAGGAGCAATTTCACTACCTGCGCTTTTCTTTTTATAAGAAGAAGCCTTTAACACAGATTTTCGTCGAATTCAGGGAATAGAGTTCCATACGCCCATATGAGACGTAAGAGGACGAAAGTGAACCAGAGGAGGAACGCCAATGGGCGTTTGATTAAAATAAAATAAAATAAATAATTTGCGCGGCTCAACTTCAAAGCATGAACAACCCATGCTGCAGAAAAAGTCCGCTAGACAGGTCCAGCGGTTTTTCTGCGTGACAAAGTATAGCTCGAACGTTGTCATATCGTCTTGCAAGGTTTGATCGGAAGGTACATTAACATCCAATGTCTTGATAGGCTTTCGCTTTGAAAAATTATCGTCTGCTCTGAACTACTGCAAACCACATGAGTGCGTGAATGCGTTCGCTTCAATTCAGAAGAGGAGTTCAAGAGTGACGACATTCAAGTACCAGACTTTTTAAGTTTTTGCAAGACTTGACTGAATCTATGATGGTAAAATGGCGAAATTTATGTGCAATAACACATATTATACATTATTGACTGCATTATGATAAATTCTGTCATTTCATTAGCTTATGAAAACTCCACGATTTTATGAAACGACCCTACAAATCGATAGCGTGTCGCATGGATTCATATTTAAACACAGGAAACTTATTGTGAGATTGACGTAGCAGTAGACAATAACAAGATATTGGGTCGTCCCGATAGATCTGCTGTTCATTTTTGAAATTTTGTAAGTTTTCATAAGACCCCTATAGATTTTTTGTGATTTTCATAAAAAAAAGAGGGTTTCCTCTTTGCAAATATGTCTTGATAAACTTCTATCTTGCATTAATTGCAGAGATTAAAATAGAAAAAAAAAGAGCATTCAGGCTCCTTGATATACTTATTGTGGCTGAGAAAATTTAGCCTAGATGTCTCCTTAAAGAGTTGCAATCTAAGAGAAAAGTGATTTCAATCAATCTCGACTTTTTCTGTTGTAGATTTGAAATCCATAACTTCTTGGAAGCGTTCAAACAGCGCAACCTTTTGTTTGGTTGCAAAGAATTAGTCATAAAACCTGTGTACTGAAAAGTTCAGGCTTCTCTGTAGCGTTCCAAATATTTGGCAGCGTAACCTAAAATGATCATGTCTTAAATAGTCTTCTATCTCCAGTTTTATCTTCGCAAAGAATGTAAAGTGAAAGCTTATCAAGATAAATACAAGGAGGAAGACTCTTCCTTTCAAAAAACCGTAAGGGAGCAAATATGTTAAGATAGCCCAAAGTTTATGAAAATACGGATTTTTCAGAACAACTCATGATTGATTTTGAATTTTTTTTCCATAATATTTGCATTAAAAAAATGGGTACGCATTCAAATATCTAGAGTCTCTTTGAGTAAAAGCCGTAAACGGTGGTTTTGCATTTATAAGGTTGGAATGAAATCATTTTTTACGCCTTTTTTTAAGCGCTGCTTCGAACGTTTACATGATTTGTTGTTGAATTCTTGCAATTATTTGAAAACTCCTTTCTTGTGCATTCCGTTTCTTTTGAGGTGGCTCATTTCCGCTTCGTAACCTTAAAAAGAAACAAAGCAAAAAAATTTTCCTTACTCTCTTGCTCAAAATCAGCCTAGGAAAGTGAGAGCAGAAATTATTAGCGAATCTACGGTTCATGCGAGAGAGTTGTGTTACAAAAAAACATGGAAGTAAACTTCAAATAATTTCTGAGCTTCAAAAACTTCACTTTTTCAAAGTTTCAAACTGCTTTGAAACTTTAAAGAATATCAAAGCAGTTTGAACCGTGACCTTCATTCGTCGTATAATGATAACAAGCGATTGTGGAACTCTCGCTGTACGCAGCGAAAGAGGAGTTGAATTAGGACATTTCATAGTAGAAATCTCGCTTTTTTTATTCCGTTTTCAAGAAAAATCGACAGGCATCCTGCCTGGAGATGTAACGTTAGCGACCATCTGTTGCATATTTAGGGGAGTCCAAGCTATCCTTCTTCATTCCAGAGTAAGATGCTCTCTCAAACCAAACGTTCAAAAATTTACTGCGTCCAAAAGATCGATTTTATAAAGAGATACAGCGACAAAATATACAAGTCGGAAATTACATACTTATTACATCACAATAAGTCGTCTGTTTCTTGGATAAGGATCAACATGGTTACAATAATTTATTATGAAGTAAAATTTTGTTTACCAAAAAATGGCAAAGAAGAAATTGACGCATGTTCTATATCACCCGAAAGGATACTTTGTCGAATTGGGGTTCCCATACGGAATGTACTATCTTATCTTATATATAAAGCTGAATGTCTGTTTGTCTGTCTGTATGTCTGTCTGTATGTCTGTCTGTCTGTGTGTACGTATGTTCCGAATAGAAAATTCCATTTCTGGACCGATCCGGACCAAACTTGGCACACATATACTACGGGCCCCGGCGGGTGTCATAGGCTACTTTTCGTCATCGATCGATATCGATTTTATCGATTTTTATCGATTTTTTTGCTGAGTTCACCTACGGGGCTGGGAGTTGGCACAGGGGGGTAATCGAGCATGGGGATTCCGGATACAATATTGGTTTTCAGGATTATCGATAACTTAAATCGATTTTATCGATTTTTTGAAAACTTGAGCTAGGGGGCTGGAATTTGGCACAGGGGTGTAATCGAGCATGCTGATCACCCCCAAGGGGGTGATCAGCATGCTCGTTTACCCCCCTGTGCCAACTCCCAGCCCCCTAGCTCAAATTTTCAAAAAATCGATAAAATCGAAAAAGTAATGGACGATCCTGAAAACTAATATTGTGTTCGTAATCTGCATGCTCGATTACCCCCCTGTGCAAACTCCCAACCCCGCAGGTCAAACTTTACAAAAAAAATCGATAAAATCGATGAAAGTAATGGACGATCCTGAAAACTAATGTTGTATTCGGAATCCCCATGCTCACTTCCCCCCCTGTGCCAACTCCTAGCCCTGTAGGTGAACTCTGCAAAAAAATCGATAAAAATCGGTAAAATCGACATCGATCGATAACGAAAAGTGGACTGTGACACTTGCCGGGGCCCGAAGTGTATGTGTGCCAAGTTTGGTCCGGATACGGCGGAGCCGGGTAAGCCAGCTAGTAGAGAATAAAACGCTGATTCCAAATCTACGTTCCTTATCTGCAAAGCGCTTTTGGGTTGGGAGTTCTGGAAATTTTTGGGATAAAAATTCAGTGATTTGTCTAAGGTAAAAACAGCTGTTGAGATCTTTTCGGCGCTTGAAAGGAGTAATGACTGACATGAGTTTGTTGGATTGAAGGTATTTATTGCATAAATGGTCCTGGCAGTAAATATGGCCCCTTCTGAACTAACGAATCAAAGTTCTGAATGCTTTTATTGTAGCTGTGTTTTCGAGATTTCGTATCGAAAACTTTTCATAACTCTCCTCCCAGAAGCGCTTTGCAGACAAGGGCAGATTTGGAATCAGCACTGCATGCTCTATAAGATAGTATACATTTCATGTGTAAACGCCACTTCGACCAAGTACCGTTCCCTTGTAAGATTTCTGATTTAGTTGTTTATTTGAAATCTGAGTCTTAAAATATTTCTCAACCAGCTTTTTCTACAGCAACGTCAACTGATATGTCTCTGTTAATTTTTGGCATGGTATAAGAAACTGATCAGGATATTGTTTAAATCTTTCAAAATGGGCTAATTCTCTTTTTTGCCACTTTAACGTACGAAAGTTATACCAGTACGGAAGCAAGCGATTTACATGGTTAATTTTTACATTCTAGGTCTAATCAGGGAACCAGCTACAGGATGTTGAAACTACTAGCTCTTTTTGCTTTTGCCACTGGAATCGCAGCAAGGCGTAGGATTTTTCTTGAGCAGATGGTGGTGATGGACTTATTTTGAATGTTTTAGCGGGCGAGATGAGAGACATACCTGGTGTAAGTGCAGCCAACATGGAAAGATTACGTCAGATGATGAACGTATGTCATTTCTATTTTTGCAGCATAAGATTGACTCTTGAAACAAAAGTTTTCTCTTTTTTCAATGCGATTGCTTTAGCCACTAGCAGCCACGATAGAGAATGATTTCAGGAAACCTGATGGTTTTTCACTGCAATTTGCTTGTCCTATTCCTTTTCTGTGTAAGCGATAAGTCATAGCAATATTTTACTGTTTTTTAGCCTCGTCTGAATGGGCGCGAAGAGTTTAAACAGAGGATGCAAGAATGGGAAAACAGTTTACCAGCAGCTGAGAGGGTTTGTGAAAATCCTTGCCTTCTTTTTTTCAAAAAATTTCCTTACAGACAGCAGTGCAAAATCACAGAAAACAAATGTTTGAAAGACGTCATGCTGGTAAGCTTACTGACCACGGTATATTTGTTACACCCCATTTTGATGAGTACACGACGTTTGCTTGTTCAAAAAAGCAAGCAGAATAGCATACCACTACTCTGCTAGTGATATACTAGACTCGAAAAAAACCTTTGATTCAACTGGCTTAGCGGCTGGTGGGCGGGGCTTTGTGACCTAATTAAGGCAACTCACGCCCGCGACGCAGTCTGCGTCTCTCCCGCGCTTTGCTCTCTGGTCATTACCTAGCGTTAAATAGGTCATGAAGCTATGCCTTCCAGCCGCTGTGCCAGTCAAATCAAAGTGTATGCAAATTGGTCAGAGATGCATACCATTAGAAACGCCTTCGAACGCTTATTTTTAATGTGCTTTTCTTATCCGCGGAAAATGAAGAGTAAGTTTGTAAGTATTTGAAATTCTGAGTCATTAGATTTACAGTTGATGTAGGTAAAAAGTCAGGAGCGGATCAAAACGTATAATCAATGTAATGTTTCAATATTTCATTACAAGATTCAATACATTCGTACAAGGTCCAAGCAAGCTTATTCCCTTCTATTTTTAACACTTCTGAGAGCTGGACTTGGGCTTTTGGTGGTTTTGTTCAAATATGGCACGCCTTGTGCGCATTGAATAAGTAAATAAATAAATAAAAACGATCTACGTATAATGAGTACAACGATAGGTTTTTAACATAACTACTTTCCAAAAATCTTCTTATATATAAAGCTGAATGTCTGTTTGTCTGTCTGTCTGTCTGTCTGTCTGTATGTCTGTGTGTACGTATGTTCCGAATAGAAAATTCCATTTCTGAACCGATCCGGACCAAACTTGGCACACATACACTTCGGGCCCCGGCGGGTGTCATAGGCTACTTTTCGTCATCGATCGATATCGATTTTATCGATTTTTATCGATTTTTTTGCAGAGTTCACCTACGGGGCTGGGAGTTGGCACAGGGGGGTAATCGAGCATGCTGATTACGAATACAATATTAGTTTTTGAAATCGTGCATTACTTTTATCGATTTTATCGATTTTTTTGCAAAGTTTGAGCTACGGGGCTGGGAGTTGGCACAGGGGGGTAATCGAGCATGCTGATTACGAATACAATATTAGTTTTTGAAATCGTGCATTACTTTTATCGATTTTATCGATTTTTTTGCAAAGTTTGAGCTACGGGCTGGGAGTTGGCACAGGGGGGTAATCGAGCATGCTGATTATGAATACAATATTAGTTTTTGAAATCGTGCATTACTTCTATCGATTTTATCGATTTTTTTGCAAAGTTTGAGCTACGGGGCTGGGATTTGGCACAGGGGGGTAATCGAGCATGCTGATTACGAATACAATATTAGTTTTTGAAATCGTGCATTACTTTTATCGATTTTATCGATTTTTTTGCAAAGTTTGAGCTACGGGGCAGGGATTTGGTACAGTGGGGTAACTGAGCATGTTGATTACGAATGTAGTGACTGTTTGCGAGAATATCCAATACTTTATTTTTTTAGAACTTCGCACTAGAAAAGTTTAAGTTGGTGCTTGGTTAAGCTGATTCAAACGGGTAATCTTTACTTCTCATCCTCAATCTTGAGTCAAAATATTTCTCCTGAGATCTGAGACTGGATTTCGGTAAGGGAAAAGCGAGTGCGCTAATTAAAAAACAGCCTTCCTGAAATAATTCGAGTGCTAATGATAACGGTCAAACGTACTGAAAGAGTACACTGATCTCTATAAAATCACAACAATTTTAATTTTTTGGCGAGGTTTAAACTACTCTGAAAGATGTTTTATTTATGAAACACTCTTTTAGATTAGGTTCTGATAGAGCTAGACTAGAGTGTTAAAATTTTGCATGCACACATCTTATATATAAAGCTGAATGTCTGTTTGTCTGTCTGTCTGTCTGTATGTCTGTCTGTATGTATGTCTGTACGTATGTTCCGAATAGAAAATTCCATTTCTGAACCGATCCGGACCAAACTTGGCACACATACACTTCGGGCCCCGGCGGGTGTCATAGGCTACTTTTCGTCATCGATCGATATCGATTTTATCGATTTTATCGATTTTTTTGCAAAGTTTGAGCTACGGGGCTGGGAGTTCGCACAGGGGGGTAATCGAGCATGGGGATTCCGAATACAATATTGGTTTTCGGGATTATCGATTACTTTTATCGATTTTATCGATTTTTTGCAAAGTTTGAGCTAGGAGGCTGGGAGTTGGCACAGGGGGGTAATCGAGTATGCTGATCATCCCCAAGGGGGGGGTGATCAGCATGCTCGATTACACCCCTGTGCCAAATTCCAGCCCCCTAGCTCAAGTTTTCAAAAAATCGATAAAATCGATTAAAGTAATGGACGATCCTGAAAACTAATATTGTGTTCGTAATCAGCATGCTCGATTACCCCCCTGTGCAAACTCCCAGCCCCGTAGCTCAAACTTTGCAAAAAATCGATAAAATCAATAAAAGTAATCGATAATTCTGAAAACTAATATTGTATTCGGAATCCCCATGCTCACTTCCCCCCCTGTGCCAACTCCTAGCCCTGTAGGTGAACTCTGCAAAAAAATCGATAAAAATCGGTAAAATCGACATCGATCGATAACGAAAAGTGGACTGTGACACCCGCCGGGGCCCGAAATGTATGTGTGCCAAGTTTGGTCCGGATACGGCGGAGCCGGGTAAGCCAGCTAGTATTCGATAAGGAAAAAAATGTAAAAAGCAAACCTGGAATTAGCATTTGCAGGCGCTTCCGATAATACGCATCTCTTTCCAATTTGTCAGTACAACTGGGTAACCTTCTCGTTTAAACGCATCGCAGCACGTGTTCTCTGTACTATTTTCTGAAGTCGCAATAGTATAGGTATTATACTTGACGAGACAAAGTCATAACTTCTAGAGTTTTCCCACATTTTTGAATAAAATTTAATCTTGTAGCTCTTCTACAAGCATGTTCTACATAAAAATCTAATTTTTGATTCTAATGTTCTCGAAACGTTGATTTTATACAACACTTTTGGTGGGGAAATGTTTTGTGGTTGTTTACGAGATGCAACGTTGTTTTTAAGCAACTATTTACAAACATTTTTTTAAAGACGAAGTCGTCTACAGGTCCCAAGAATGCAAAAAAATTGGAGAAAATATTAGTCTGTGGGAAAAATACGAGACCTGCAAAGGATATGACTTTGCAACAGTTGTGGGCATCGACGGTTCACATCGTCCCTGGCAGCAAAAGCACGGGCCACGGATTGTCCACATCGTTGTCAATGGGTCAACATACCAGCTATTATTGAGGAGCTAACTTCCTTAGGCTGCGTTCGTACTGAGTGGAAGTTCCGGCAAAGTTCCAGTACAGCATTTGGATGTGTTGAACTGACTCGTGATGCACGCACAGCAGCAAACCGCAGTGTTGAACGAGATGTAGCATGTTTTGAGCATTTCTAATATTCGCCCTTGCAGATTTTGACGTTTCCCGTCTCAATCTTGCTCCTCGCTAAAAACAAAATCGAGTAGTATGATTATGGAAAGAAATTGGCTGAAAAACCCAAAAACCCAGATTTAGCATAATTGGCGATCTCACAATCAGTCACTTAAATCGTTGACGTCAGTGTCGCGCAATGGTGCGCGACACCCTAAACATCAGTTCGATTGTGCGCAATGGTTCCAATTTGTGTACAAATAATCAATTTAGGCTCAGAAGTTTTTCATGTTGGCCCCGCCCCTCCTTTGGCAAACTCCGCCCACTCCGTTGCCCTCTACAAAAAACTTTTTTCGTTCTCAAATCGCATAGAAAAGCTCGTAGATGACTAGGGAACCTTGAATAATCTTAATTTTGACCCTGCCTCCCATTACGCAAGCCCCACCCCTGAGTGGCAAGCTCCGCCCACTTTTCAAAAATGCTGGAATTTTAACGAATTTATTGATTTTGAGCAATTTCCAGCTTTTGAAAAGTGGGCGGAGCTACCTCGCCCACTTGCATTTTTGTACCTCACGCATAGATGGGTACATACATACATGCAACCGGCCGTAAAAATGCCCGGAAACGGTTCGTCCACATGGACAGACGTCAAAAAAACAGCTCGTCGTCAACGTGTTAACAATTGTTCAGTCTGTATCAAGACGCTAGCTATATCAAAGACGCAGTGACTCAATGAAAAGCAAAAAAGAATTTCCGGAAAAATATGTGGAGGAAAACGGAGGCGAAAAATAGGGGAACAGCAGAACAAGGCATGGGAAAGCTTTCATTTTCAGACCTTGCTTCCATCTAAATACTTTTTAAAGCAATAGGAATCCAGATACAACAATGAGATGAAAACGAGCAAGATTTATAGTGAGACCAGCTACAAAACGGTTCTAAAAGGCTACTTAAGGCCACAGTACCATGCCCAGAGAATGGAGAAAATCAAGTTGGGACGATAAACTGTAAAATCCTAAGAATTCTTGTTCATTGAAGGAATTTAGCTGTATAGAGCAATTTTTGAGTTTTACGGACCTCGTTTAGAACTCCTTCAAAGAGGCATCCCAGGTGTGAGTGATTCCAGTATGGATAGGCTACGTCAGATGATGAATGTGAGTTTTTTCAAGTTGGAAATTACTCTATACGCAATGTGAGTTTGCGCACATTGTCCTTTATCAAGCAAAAATAGTTGAATTTGTAAAAGTCAACTTTAAAATTTCAGCCTCTACCGGAAGGAAGAGAAGCTTTTCAGCAGAAGATGGACGAATGGATAAACAGTCTGCCACCTGCGGATAAGGTACGTTATTGCCTTAACAAATTTTCTGGAAATCGCTGATCCAGATGCTTAGCTCATAAAACTAAAAAATTTAGGCAGCAGCAGAAGCGCACAGAGAACAGATGCGTCAAAGACATAGAGGTCCTCCACCTCCTCCTCCTCTCTAAAATCCATATCCGGGCAGTGGATCAGGTGCTTGTGATAAAGCATTTTTGCACTTGTCGCATTATTGCTTATGAAATAAAAATGAAACGATTTTTGTGTCACACATCAAAAAAAGGCTTGATTGAGATTTGTTTTTCATCTACATCTTTTTTACGAGATAACATACAACACACACCAAGATTCCTCCAATGACCATTCCACATCGTGCCCCCTGTGCTTGCGTTTATGCGTGCGAATCGGTACTCCAAAAACGGCTTTGATAACAACATATAGTTCATTCGTTGACCGTACGGACTGGACATCACTACGGAGCACGCGCCGCGAGGTAAAACGCGTGCCCCAATACAAACCCACCATTGTACAAATCGTGCTCTCACAACATTTTAGCCGCGCCGCGCGGGTGCGCCGCGTTTGAGCAGTCCGTGCGGTCAACGAATCAACGATAAAAAAATCTTTACAAAATGTTTGAAACACAAAATAGAGTGAGTGTAGAATGTGACTTACGCATTCAAGTGCATGTAGTTCAAACAGCTGATTGAAACTTCCGCGGAACCTTTAGGAAAGTTCGGAAAGTTCCGCCGGGTCATCTGCGGAAGTTCCGAAGAATAGAACCACAACAGCAAAAGAGAACACTTAAGCGAGATTTGAACCTTACTCGATTGACTGCAATACCATTTACTACCCTCAGCACTATGGATGACATATTTGTTAATGCGCTCTAGTTGTTGGCGGAGCAACATCGTGCGAGACAACACACAAAAACCTGCGGAACTACTGGCATGACAAAGCGCTGGAACCACTGACGTTTTTCGGAAGTTCCGCAGCGCTTTGCAAAAAGACCTGCAGGAGTTCCCGCTTTTGGCCATTCTGGAAGCGAAAAATTTGGAAGTTTTCATTTTCAACGATTCCACTCTTAGGAATAAAATTCTGCGAAACCGCGATTTTGCTTGTCCTGCGGAAGTCCCGGTGAATCATCTGAAAGGGTGCACAAAAAAATAGCGAATTCGCTGTATTGCTTTGTTTCGTTTGAGAGGAATCTTTGTTATGGTTATTGGCCTTTAACGACAATTGTCACCCTTTGAAAAACTGTATAAGAACGTGAAGTTTGCTGTCACTGAAAGATCGGGAACACCCTGAGCAAAGTACAGCAGTGACGATGGAATGCGACGCGTATGGCTTAGCGCTCTTAACAGTGATGATGTGATCTTGAGTGGTGCAATTTTGAAGAGATAAATGAGACAAAATTAACGCAGAAGACTAAACTTGTTATTTACACCAATAAGTACACAAAATCTAAGCGATCGAAGTGTTCAATTTGTTTTTTGCGCAAAGTTCATAGGTCTTTGGGTCAACCATCTTCATATAAATGATTATTGAAGAAGTGAAAATACAAAGCGCTTACTTTCTTACTCACTTGTGAAACAGGCAACTATTGGCGGATAAGACTGCTATAAATATTATTTTTTAACTGTTAATTATGTTACAAAAAAAAGAAGAAAATGCAGCAACCTTTGAGACGTACCACAGAAGATCAGGTAGAATGCAATAAAAGTGAAAATAAAATTAGTAGCTTATCCAGGATTCCCGTTTAGGGAGGGGTGGGGGGGGGAAGAGAGAGGGTTTTTTAGTGAAGGTGCGTGGTGTCAACCACGCACTCCGAAAAAATTTTCGGTATGTTTTCTTAAATTTTAGCGGACCCAGTGACCCGACTTTTCGAAAAAGGGGCGTAATGTCAGTCACGCTTCCAAAATTTCTTTTGCAGCTAAATTAAATTTTGAAATTTTTGAAAAAATATTAACTATTTTCAAGCAAAAGCAAGTTATTTGCACATTCTTATAACCCATTTGAGTCAGATTCCAAAAATTTCGCGAGACATTTTTTAGGGGGGGGGTGGGGCTCGTCATTGGTAAAACCGTGTTTGCTGCGTTCTTGCAAGAATATGTGATTAAGTTTAGAACTCTTTTTCTCAAGGTAAAACAGTTATTGATGATTGATGGTTATCATTGCGTATATCCTCTGAGAAATCTCACAAGGGAAGCGTCAATAATCGAAGTGGCCTCTCCACATGCACCTATATCACTTTGTAGAGCATCGGACGATGATTCCAAATCCGTCTTTCACATCTGCCAAGCTCTTCTGAAGGCCGAGTTATGGGCATTTTTTAAGTCGAAAAACTTAATGGACAACTGGAACAAAATCGTCTAAGACTGCTCAAATGGTCAGGTGTTCATCATCGGAGCATTTCGCTTGATGAATACTTTAGGTATAATACCCTTATACTCAACGTTTTATTTGAGCGCAGAAAATGTTGTAATTACTGTTATAGATTCTGCGTTCATTTTTTGCTCCAAGCGCTCATAGCTCGGCGCCCAGGGGCGCTTGGCAGATAGGGAAACCAGATTTGGAATCAGCGTTTAATGCTCTTCACAGTGGTGTAGGACTCATTTGGAAAGGCCACTTTGACTAAAGACGCTTCCCTTGTCAGTTTGAAATCTTAGACTGTTTGAGATACGCAGGTGCGTGTTAATATATAGTAACAGTTTGGATTGTGGTACAGTTTTCAAAAAACATACAGCTTCCGTCCATTCCCGATCACAAAAATTGTCAGCATTTTAGCTTTATGAAATATGATAAAAATCATGTAAAACTGCTTTTCCTATACAATGATCCACGCACATAATTAAAAATATTGCGGAATAACATTACTGCCATGTGGAAGCTGTAAAAAAGAGGGTTGTTGTCGAACTTACTCCACCCTTTGACAATTCCCATTCGACAGTGATTTCGCCTAGCGAGTGGACGTAATTTCAATTTGTCTTCTGAATTCATGGTTGCCAGAATCATAGCACTCAAAGCCTAGCTTGATTGTTTCTTCTGAGCTTTCATAAAATATTGGACAAAGTTGTTTTGTTCCTTCCTCCACTATTAATTGGACCTTTCGAGTTTATAGTTCAAACTGTCGCTTGGATAAGTCGTACTTATATTTTGCCAACAAAAGCATACAAATTATTTTCAAAAAGGCTTTACATTAATCTTATTCAGAGGCTTTAACCAAAAGATACACGAAGGCAAAGATGCTCAAAATACTCGCGTTTCTTGCTCTCGTCACGGTGATTACTGCAAGACGTAAGACGTGGTTTTACGGACAATTTGATTAATTGCCCTCTACAATATCTTTAAGGTGGCTGGACCAGAGATATTCCTGGTGTGAGTGCGGCCAACATGGAAAAACTTCACCAAATCATGAACGTAAGGCTAAAAACCATTCTGATTCTAATTACTTTATCCTTTAAAACAGTATGGAAAGATCTTGAAAGGAAACTATTGAACCATAAAAGCTTTCTTTGTACCAGCTGCCATTATAGATCAGCACAGAAATTTGTACCGTTTTAAATTCTGACTCTAGATAAAAAAGAATATAAACAGCAAGAACAGACGACCACCTCTAAAGTTCACAGTCCATTTTCTTTGTACCAGCTGCCATTATTGCAATTTCTTTATTTTCATTCAATGTCGCCAAAGTAGCGCTAACATTCTTCTTTGTTTCCTTTTGGATTTTCGAAATTGTTATTGACCATTTCGGCCGAGACTTTGTGACTTTAGAGTAAGACCAACATGCTTTACTTCTTATGTATTTTTTCGCCAGGATTTTAGAAAATTGTAGTAAACAAGACCTTTGAACGCCTACGATTTCGCAAGGCACAGCAACACAGCGTGGCCTTTAGGTCGCAATTTCTTTCAACGTGTTCGCATTAGTCAATCTGCAGAAAAAAATTAGTGTACTTCAAAATATTAGAGTACTAGATTTAAGTAGGGCGAGGGGAATCATGAATACGGATGTCAATCACTGAATAAAACAATTTCATCAAATTTCGTGGGTCTTTTAATGTTTGCGAGTTCGAAATGATAAAAGTCGAAAACCAGTCGCACAGAATTTTTTGAGTTCTGCGAAGCCAATCAAGAAAATCAAAGAGTTTTGCATTTTCAAAGATATTTGCTCTTATTTTTACTAGATTTGTTTTTCAACGTACGTAAAAATTTGAAAGTTACCTGTAAGCTAAGGTTGAAATGATGGATATCAAAGAGATTATTCTTCAAACTTTGGCCGACTTAGCACAAAGCCCTAGTCGCTACAAGGAACGTGTAAAACCTCGGACAGAGTTTACGCGATTTTCGCGATTCAAACGCCACAAGACAACTGTTACGAGTTCATTGCATGTCGATCAGCTTGCTCGTAACATTTGTCTGTAGCGAGTGTATCGCGAGGATATCGCGTGAACTCAGCCCGAGACCTAAAGTGTTTGACTCTTTTCCACATAATTTCTCAGATGGGCACCAGACTAGCCTTGACTCGTATTGCTTCAGCAAGAGGCGGCGCAGTCTCTGACATTCAAGGTCGCTGACAAATTGTGTCGGGGTCTCCAATTTTTTTCATTACAAAATTTTTATGATGGTATGGGGGCGTTTCATCATTCTCTTATATTGTGAGCCCTCTTCATCATCTCTCCAAAACTGCAATCGTTGCAAACATTGCAGACGCCACCCCCGATTTCCGTTCAACGTGACACCAAACATCAGTTTACTAGTTGCACTACGTCCTGGTGAACCTAAGGTAGGCTGAAGCAGGCAGCTGGCTAGTTTGGCGCCTCCTCAGGTCTAGTGAAACAGAACATACAGCATTTGAGATGCAAAATATTCCATCAAACTGATAAGTGCCAGATTTTGGTTTACCAAGGCAAACAAAACTATAAGTGTTCAATTTTATTTCAGCCTCGACCTCATGGACGCGAAGAGTTTAGGAGAAGATTTTTGGAATGGGAGAACAGCTTACCGCCAGCGGAGAAGGTGTTGAGGTTGATTTACAACTCAGTAAAAATTTCATAATTTCTTTCTAGGCAGCTGCACAAGCTCACCGAGAGCGAAGACGTAATAGACATAGAAGTAAGCACTATTTTATATTTGAAAACTTATCCAAGACTTTAAAAGTAAAAGTTATAGTGAGCTAGTCAGTATGTCTGGCTTCGCTCGGTATCAAAATAAAAT